TCTTCCATCTGCTGATTTGTTCCCCAAGTGCCTGCAATAGCTGGGGCTGGGCCAGGCTGAAGCCAGGAGCCAGGAACTCCATGCAGGTCTTCCACCTGGGTGGCAGGGGCCCAAGTCCATGGGGAGCCGTGGTCTGCCAGCTCGCAGGGTGCACATTAGCCTGATGTCACATTCTCTAGCTGGGACAGCCACATAACTTCTTCTCCTTTAAGGTGGGAATGATGAGGACAGCAACCATGAGGATCCAAGTGCCTGAATCCAAGGTGTCCTGAGGACCCAGGAGCTCACCCACATAACCCACTTAGAGCGACACAGGAACGTGGTGTCCATGGCTCCCTGTCAGGCTAATCTGCCGGTGCCTTCCCGGCCAGCAGGAACTGTTCTGTGTATTGCACCCTTGGCTCCTGATACCATAGCTGTCACAGCTCCGAGGCATGCTTATCAAGTGAACTCACCCACTTTGTCTCCAGCTTAAAGCCTTAAAGAGGAAGAACACATGGGCTTTGGCCTGATCTGAGGGGCAAGGTAGAACAGGCTGCTGGTGGCAGAGTCTGCTTGCCCCTGGCCTTGCTGAGAGCTCCGGGAGGCTTCCCTGCACCCCGACTGCTGCTCCCTGCAGCACCTGCTGTTTCTGGCCTCACCACCTCCCAGGCCTTTCCCTTCTCCCGGCTCGGAGGCACCGGTGCTGGCCCTGCGGTCGGCACTTATTTCTGCCAGCAGCCTGGCCTGCCGCCGCCTGGCTGTCCCTGAGCCCTGGCCCCTGGCACAGGCTCTTCTGCTCTTGTGATGACCCACCCAGCTCTGACAAGTCCAGAGAGTGACCGTCGCATGTGGCTCAGCCCAAGGTGCTGGAAGACTGGGTGGGGGGTGCGCTTAGAGGAACAAAGGGCGCAGTTGCAGGAAAACCAGTGAGATGAGCCCAGGTTCGTGTCCTGGTGCCAAGGACTGTTTGAGACCAGACACAACAGTGGGAGTGGAAGAAATGAAGTTTTGTTTAAGTAAGGAAAGGAGAAGCTCCCCACAGAGGGGAGGGGCTGCTGGAAGAGAGGCCGAGCCGCTGAGGTCTCGCAGCCTAGGGCGTTTGCACATCTTGAACGTGCCATCCCCAAACAGCACACGCAGCGGTTACACATTAGCCTCTGTGAAGGCGGGGGCGGTCTCAATGAGCCTTTTTCAACTTGTTTCTGTCGAAACCTAGATCTTGTTGTCCATTGGCAAATATTTGCTACAAGGGGCTCCCATGCTGTTCTGTGCCGTGTGTCTGTGCCAGGAGGCGCTGCAGTGTGTGTGCGCTGGCAGGGCGCTGTGGGATGGCAGGGGTCTGGCCAGCTTCTAGAAAGTCCCGGGGGATCCCTGGGTGCCACGGTGCGGCTGAGCCGGTTAAGCCACTGCCTGCACCCCATGTGAGTGCCGGCTCCAGTCCCGTCTGCTTCTGACCCAGCTCCCCCGCTAATGTGACTTGGAAAGCAGCTGAAATGTCCAAGTACTTGGGTCCCTGCCATCCCCATGGGAGACCCAGATGGAATTCTGTGGAATTCCAGGTGGCAATTTGGGGACTGAACTAACAGATGAAAGTTCTCGCTCTCTCCCCCCCCCACACCCCTTTGTAACTCTGTTTTTCAAATAAATAAATCAGTTTTGTAAAAGAAAAATATTTGTATATGGAAGAGCAAAGGGGAGGTGAGCCAGGAGCCCCATGTGGGAAGCAGGTGTGGGCAAGAACCTGTGACGGCCAACAGGAAATCCATGTCCCCCTCTCATGCCACTCTCTTTGGTGCATGTGAACTCTGGAGGGGCAGGAAAAAAAAAAAAAACTCCCTGTGTTTTGGCCAAGAGACTTTGCACTGCTGTGTGCCATTTCTCTGCTGGCTAGCTGCACTGGGCCCAAGCTGGCTGGCCCGCTGATCGGTTTCAGTCACTAAGCTGCTAAGGTCCTTCTTTCCCAGGGCCATTGCAGCTGACCCAGGTAGGCCAAGCCATTAGGCAGAGCTTGCGCCAGAAGCAAGGCCTCCGAGGTGGGGCTTGGCACACCAAGTGGCTCCAATGCGGGCATTTCTGCTCGCGAGGGTAGTGAGTCAGTCCACCTGTTCAGCTTCTCTTAGCCTCAATTTCCCGTAGAAGAGCGGCGCCATCCTCCCTGGCCTGCTTGTTGCAATGAGAAGGAGAAATAAAAACTCGCATGCCTGGGGCTTGCTTGAGGGATGCACCAGCCCCCTAGGGCAAAAGATTAAGCCCCAGGAACTACTGGAAGGGTGTGTGCTTAGAATGGACTCTCCCCCCTCTCCTACAGGCTTCCTCCCTTGGGAGAACTCTCCAGTTTCCTGGGGGAAGTGATAGAAGTTCAAGCAGTCTGGGGAGGGTGGGGCCCAGGGGGGCACAGCTCCTTTGCAAGGACTGGAAAAATACCAGCAGTGTAAAGAAGGGAGCTGACGCAGTTCAGGGAGGCACCTGCAGCTCCCATGGTCCCCCGCTTCGTTCTGCGTGGTCCACATCGCACTTGGAGGGGGAGGTATTAAACTAAACTTAGGAGTTTAGGTTACATAGACCAAGAGACTTCAAAGCTCTAAGCAAGTAAATTGTTGGTGTGTGAAGGGTTGGGTGTGAAGAGTTGGAGTAAAACTCACCATGTTCGGTCCGGAGGCCAGAGCGCTCAGAACAGTGCAGTGATGCACGCACGCTTTTGTTCTGCAGCTCCTCTAGCTCAGGGAGCAAGCAGTAGGGAGAGGGAAGGATGGAGGAGGAGCTGAGACTGGATGCCGCTTGGGTGGGGATCAGCAGTGATGCTGAAGGGGTGAGTGTTGCCCGAGTCTGCCCCAAAGCGCCACCTCCGCTCTGTCCTCCACCTACTATCACCTCCTCTCCTCAGCCCCTCCCTCTCAGGTCCATTTCGGCATGTCCCTTTCTCGTGTCCAAGGGTCCCTTGCCCTGTTGTAGGTCTCTGTCTTTACAAGGTCGGCCTTGTCTTCCATGCATGGAATGATTCCTTGGGCAGGAAACCTCTCAGCCTGAACACAGAAGCAAATCCACCAATCCCAGTCTCCAAATGCCTGAGAACAGACTGCCGCCCCCAGGAAGCCTCTGGAACTGGCACTCAGCCAGGCAGGAGCAGCTCAGGGCAGGGGAAGGATCGCTGGGCTAAAAATCTGAGAACCAACTGTGGGCTTGGACAGATCAGTTAAAGTATAGTGGCCTCGAACATCAGCGAAATGATAAGAAGAAAGGGGGCGGGGACTAGACAGGATTGGGGAGACTTGAGTTCCAAGAAGGAGAGTTCATAGGGTGGTAAATTTGTAACTCCTCTCTCCTGCCCTGTGTAATGGTATGGATGTTCATCTGGCTAAGAGAAATCAAGGATGGCTTCCTGGAGGAAGTGATATTTGAAGACACAAACAAAAAAGTGAGCTAAGCACCCAGTTACTCACATTCCTGGCAGGAAATAGGGCTTGGTATAGAAAATTGGTTGAAGAGTTTAATGGAGGGACTATTTTTGAAAACCAGGGAAGGGTTTGAGGGACATCAACAGGGGCGTTATATGATATCGTGATATACATTGAGCCTACAGCAGGAGCCACTACTGGGGTCTGAAGGAGCAAAAGGAAAGCACTTTCAGTCTTGTAGCCACAGGCGGAGGTCCCGGCAGCAGCTGTGGCTTCCGCGGCAGGAAGGCGGCCCTTTCAACACCTCCTGGTTAGGGAGGGAGACTGCAGGTACACACGTACCTGTACAGACATCAAGGCCTCTAACAGGAAGTAGTCTTATTATGCCAGCATAAGGCCCAGGTGGAATTTCTTATCCAAAATCCTGAACCCCAAACAAAGAAGGGTTTTGCCTTGTATATGGTTTTAGCCTCTTCGTCTCCCTTATATGGCTACCTGCAAACATTTGATTACATATTCTAATGTTACATGGGGGGCACAGGATTGATACAGTACTGCGGATGCGAAGGTAGTTAACTGAAGATATATATTTCTCACACACGTACTGAGCCGTCCAATGTCTGGCGAAGGTTAACAGCATGCTCTGTACTCACAAGCAGAACCTGAAGTGGTTCCATCCATTGGAGAAAGAGTTAGTAGAGCTGTAGTTGGTACCTACTGGGCCAGCACTGCCCCTGTTCCGGCTTCACGGCCGTCCTGGGAGGCCCTCGCCACTGCTCAGCTCATTTGGTAGAGAGGACGCCCCACATGCCCAGGATCACACAGCCCACCAGGGTGCCTGCACCCAGCGCGATCCCGACACTGGAACCCCGGCGCTCACACGCCTGCCCAGGAGTGAGACCCGGAGAGGTCTCACGTGCAGCTGGTCTGTCGCTCTCAAATGCTGATACTGAGAGCGCTTATCCCACCCAAGTTCTCTGAGCATATGAATAGATTGTGACCCACGTGGTCTGGGTCTTTCCTGGGTCCCAGCTGATCCAAGAAGTGAAAAATGTTCGGCAGACGCATTTTTGGCGCTGCGCTTTTTTGATGTCTGCTTTCATAAAAAATCGGTCTCCTTGAATTTGTTCTCCATTCCCAAGGCCGCCAGCCCAGTCGCCTGCTCTCTCCCAGCACACTCACGAGGGTGCTGTTGACAATCCTTGAAGCACCAAGGCCCTCATACGGGGTGGCCTGAGCGCCCGCGTGGTCAGTGAGGCTGTGTGTGGTCTGACCGACAGGCGAAGTCTTTTCCCCTGAAATCATCGCTCTTACATCATGAATGCAGGGAGAAGGGGTACACGGTCCAGAGTCCATGCTGCCATGACCTGCTTCAGGGCTGGAGGGCAGGGGCGTGGCGACTCGCGTCTCAGCCACTCACCCATCTGCACGGTGTCCAGCGGCACAGCCCGGCTCACCGGCACAGCCCGGCTCGGTCTCCTGCTCTGGCTTCGGACTGTGCTGCCGCTTGAGACACAGGAGGCGGGGCGAGTCCTGACAGCAGGGCGGCATCGGGGTCATCAGGTGATCCAGAGACTGTGTCCATCAGAGGCGCACAGAGAAGCGGTGGTCCGGGGCTGCGCTGGGGGGAGCTGCCTGGTGGGCGGGCGTGGGGGTGGGAAACAGGAGGCGTTCAGAGGGCTCCTGGAAGCCCAGGGCGCTGCCTGTCTCCGCTCTACCCAGCCCGCGTTTGGCCCATAGCACAGACACAGACGCTCTGCTCCTAAACTGCCCTAGGCTCCTTTTGCCTACCAGAACCGGCATGAAGGGAGGGCGAAGAACCAAAAAAACCGAATTGTCATGCACCCGTGACATTCGGCTGTGCCGTCCTAAGTACTTTTCCTGGGTCAGGCTGCGCCCGCCCACCTGCCTCCCACGTCTCACAGCAACGTCTTGGATCTGCCCACTGCTCTGCCTGGCTTGTCTGTTTCCCCAGCTACTGCCCCAAGCAGGCTAGCCTTCATTCCTTCCACAGATATTTCTTGAGAGGCTCCTATGTTTAGGGTTGCTCACTTGGGCAATAAAATCACAATACCTTTTATCTGACAATCTGACCTCCCTTCTGTTTTTGGTGCTGGGGATTGAGCAGAGGGCAAAACAGAAAAATCTCTTACATTCTAGACAGGGAGACAGAAATGCACAAAGAAGCTCTGAAGTTGGTGCTGTGGACAAAGATCACGCCGGCATTCAGATTTCCTGCGGGTTCCTTGGGGGAGGGAGGGTCCGGTGTCCTACCTTCGGATCATGCCTGTCTCCTCCTCCTAGCGCCTCTGGCAGGGAGTGCCTCTTGAAGTCACTGGTTTTCTGGCCAGTGTCTAGAGGACAGCCAGTTCCCCACACCTCGCTCCCCAAGGTGAAGAACCAAGTATTTGGAGGTAGAGCAGCGACCCGTGCCGTCAGCTCTGCTCATGTCTTTGGACCAGGATGGGACCAGTGTGCACCACAGAGGGGAGTTCTGTGTTGTGGACAGCGCTTCTGCCACGACGTGCCCCATCGGAGCCCCGGGATACTCAGCATTTGTACAATCACGCGCCTTCCCAGAAACCACCGCTGGACAGGAGGAGGCAGGTGGGGATGCTGTTAAAAGAAATGGAGAATTTGCATGTGTGTTGTTCTGCCTGCTCAACTTAGACCCTTTGCAAATGAGCTAGATAATGCCTGGGAAATCCCCTTTTCTGTGTTTTTTTTTTTTTTTTTTTTTTTTTTTTTTTTTTTTTTTTTAGCACTACTTAGCATTTCTTGAGGAAAGAGTCTGTTCATCTGTTTAATATTTTAAACAGATTAAAATATTTTAAATTATTTTATCTAATAATTTTGCTACCTTGTATGAAGTACTGCTGCCTGCTATGTGCTCAGGAAAAAATGTGAAAGACTAAAACTGTTTAAAATAAAAAGCACTGGGTGCGCAGGTTAGTGTCTTAGGACACAGTGGGCTAAGCAGCAGCTTGGAACGCCTGCATCCCGTAGGCAGAGTGCCTGGGATGAAGTCCTGTCTTCAGTTCCGAGCCAGCGCCTTGCTGATGCGCACCCTGGGAGGCAGCAGGTGATGGCTCCAGTGGTTGGGTTCCTGCCATCCACCTGGGAGACTCTGATGGAGTTTCTGGCTCTTGGCCCAGCCCCAGTTATTGTGGACATTTTGGGAGTGAACTTACTGGTGCCCACCACGGGCTGGATGCTAAGCAGAATTTAGAACAAGCACACACATAAAAGTTCATTTCGATAGCCCAGCTCTTGTCTCACATTTCCTGTTGATCTGGAAGGGTCAGGGCCCAGGTTAATAGTGAATTCTCCATTTTCTAAGTGGGAAACTAGACAGAGAGACAGTGCATGGCTTAGCCAAAGCCGTTAGAATAAAGAGAGGTGGGGGGCTCAACCTCAGAGTGCTTCTTTACTTATTTTTTAAAGACTGTTGGATTTTTTTTTTTTCTGTTTTGAGGCAGAGAGGTCCCATCTGCCAGTTCACTCCTCAGATGCCTGCCATGGGAACTCAGGACTTCATCCAGGTCTCCCATGTGGGTGTCAGGAACCCAACTCCTTGGGCCCTCACCATGACCTCCCCAGAAGGCACTGGCAGGAAGCAGGAAGCAGACTGGAGCTGAGACTTGGGCGTTCAGATGTAGTGTGCGGGGGCAGCTGAGACGCCCACCGCAGGACTAGGGGCTCCCGCCCAGACTGCATTCAGGCCCTCAGGTGCAAGGCGGTTCTCAGCAAAAACCCCTTCTTCTGAGTGGAGGAAGAGGAAAAATTCCCACCCATCCCCCAATCCCAGCTTCCGTCCTGTTTTCCCAGCAGTGATCCTGTCTGTCCCTTCTCCTCCTGTCCATATCGGCCCTGGACCCCGGAGGCTTTTTTTCCTTTTTTTTTCTGTTAGTGATACAGAAGGTTTCCTAGTTGCTTAACTACCCGTGGGGGAGTATGGGGCGAAGCTGGAAGCACTGTCCTTGTTGGGCAATGGACTGCCCTGCCACTGGACCAGACCAGTGATGCTGGGGGTCCCGAGGCACCCGCAGCGCGTGACCCTCGCCTGTCTCCCTCCGCAGGAAGCAGGCACGGCCCCTGTGACGCAGGTGCTCCTCTCCCGAAGGAATTCCCTGGGGCGGCAGTTCTGACCTCACTCTCACTGCTGCTGGCGCTTCTCCTGGCGGCCGCGGTTGGCTTCATCTGGAAACTGCACCGAGAGAAAGAGCAGGAACGCGGGAGCAGAGGTAAAGTCCTCGGAAGACCAAGGCCGTGAGGGCCAGAGAGCATGGAAATGGGACTGGACGGGGGAAAGAGAGAGGCTCGGTAAGGTCTTCTTCCCGAGCTGCTTCCTGTGGTCTTTCCACTCAGCCCCACCAGCCCCCCCTGTTGACTCTGTCCCAGCTACAGCCTTGCCCGGGCCCCAGAGCTCCGTCCCGGGGGCTCCTGCAGGAAGGGGGTCCCACGTAGGAGACCACACCTGAGACAGCCTTCCCCGAGGAGCCTCGCTGCTCTGTGGTGAACACTGCCGATTTGTCTCCTGTCCTTTTGCAGAGAAACTCCAGAGAGAGCTCCGTAAGTTCCGCGCCTCCCTCTCTTCTGAGTAAGACCCGAGTCCTGGCGCCACGCCAGCCTTCTCACGCGCTTTCTTTGTTCTACTTCAGGCTGGAGAAAAGCCCAGAAAGTGGACGGTAAGTAGCCGTGGCTTTTCCCCTGCAATTTCGCCTGCCTCGGTGACTAGATGCCTTTATCTTGACTCTTTCCCTGGGGCCTTCCTCTTACCCAAGGCAGACTTAATCCGTAGTCCAATCTCGCCTGGCTATCACCCCACACACTCACCAAATGTTTTCAGGCCCAAACCCAGCTTCATACCCTTCCTGTCAGCCTGCTCTTCTTCCTGTCGCTTGACCGTCTACCCAAGTGGGCTCCTTTCTCTCCTCCTGCCCAGGACAGGCCTTTTCTCAGGCAGGCACCACTCCTCCAACTTCCTCTTTGTGGGGAGCAATCCGGACTAGACTGAGTTACTGGAATTAAGACTTATTCTATGCATCTGCTCTCCCACAATATGGCGCTGGGAGAGAAGTAAACAGCTTCCGCACAGCTGCCTCCAGTTCAACTAATAAACTGTAGGACCTGCTCCTGATTGGAGGAGAGCAGCGTACTCGGCGTGTGGGCAGCCGAGTTGGGATTGGCGGAGGAGGACTATAAAGGAGGAGAGAGACGGCATGCACCAGGAACATCTATGGGGAACATCTAAGGGAACCCGTGCAGCCCCCGAGAAAGCCGGCCGGCGGTGTGCCGCTCCCCTGCGGAAGTGGGGAATGCGGCCAGGGGGAACTGCCCTTCCACGGAGGTGGAAGGGATAGTAGCCAACCCGGGATGAACCAGCAGCAAACCCGGGGAGGGCCGGGCGGACGAAGGAACAGCGCAGGGTTCAGTGTTGCTCCTCCACGAAGAGGGGGAGCGACATAATGGTGCCGTGACTCGGATATGAAGCCTAGGCAGGGTTTAGTGTCGTTCCCCCATGAAGACGGGGAGCGACACTCTTCTATCTTCTTCTTCTATCACAAATTCCCATGGAGCGTCTCTCAACAGCAGTCACCCACAAACCACGCACCCTCTCCTGGGCTCCCGCTTCCCTTCCGCCGAGAGCTTCTGCTGCTGCTCCGTTCATTTCAAGAGGTTCAGCTTAACTGAACATCAGGACGCAGACAGGAAGTCTGAAAACAACCAGCATGCCCAGCACATTGCTTCCCGGAAGTCTCAGAACAGAAAACGCACAGGGCCTTCTGTCGAGGGACAAATACTCTGCCACCCCCCGAAAACTGCCCGTGCCCTTGGACTTGGCCTCGCAGCCAGGGAGTCCGTCCGTCCATGGCGCTGTTCTGTCTACACGGTCCTCCCCGCATCGCTCGCCCTCCTCTCTGCCTCTCCCGGTTCTTTCCCCCCTCCTAGGCAGTTCAGTGCTGGGATCTCTTTTCACAGTGCACATACTCTCTAAGCTTCAATCTGTTTCCAGAGCTCTCGCCCATAAGCTGGCCCTTCCAGCCGCTGGGTCCTGGCTCCTTAGTGCTGTGCCCACTCCTTAAACTCAAGGGCCTCTAGACTCCCAGAAGCACCTCACAGCCAGTGCACCCAACACCAAACTGCACCAACCCTGGCCGGCTCTTTGTCCGAGCACAGGACACCACCGTCCAGTCATTTTCAAAGCCTCTCGATCTCTCCCACCCGCCGGAGCTAGCCAATAGCCATTTTCCCTTCTTTCAAGCACTGCTGCTCTCTGCTTAGAGTGTGGACCCTGGAGCTGGGCCACTTGGGCTCAAGCCAGCCCAGCTGGTAACCTGCTGTGTGGCCTTAGGTGAGTTATTCATCCTTGCTGGGCCTTGGCTTGTCGGCTGTAAAATGTGGGGAGTACGAGTGTCTACTTCCCCATGTTGTGAGTGTGGTTAATGCCCGTCAGGTCCTAAGGGCAGTGCCAAGACCAGGGCGGGATCTGCGCAGGTGTCAGCTGTTGCTAGGCCACTCCCCTCTTCTCTAACCCTCGAACGTCACGCGCCCATCAGTTCCCGCCTGGAATGTCACCGTCGCTTTGTGCCCAGTGCCCTGGCTCTCCACTAAGGACACTAGGCAGATGTCATCATCGTTACAAAGAGCACAGTGCCAGTAGAACCCCATGCATCCTCTCCCCCACACCTGCCCCTCTATGATCATCAAACGTACACATTTCCTCCTGCCAGACTTCTCCAAGACTTTCCCTTCGGTCTTGAGCTAACCCCTAACTCCACAGCCGGCACCTGCTGATGCTGTCTCCTGCGGCACCGGTGCAGGGATCATAACTGGATCTTTCAAAACAGAAGGCAGGGACATTTACTGAGGTGAATATGCACAGGTTCTGTGCTAATCCCTCTCCAGCGAACATGAAACAGGTCCCACGTGTGCTGCAGATGAAGAAACCGAGACCCTGGTGGGGGGAGGTGTAATTAGCAGGCTTTGAGTTGCATGGCTAGTGAGTCATGGCTAACAACAGCTAGATGTAGAAAAGGACTGTGAGCCAGCAGGCAGTGAGCCATGGCGCCTGGGACATACGGAGGGCTGCTCAGAATAAGCTCTAAAGAAAGTCTATATTCTGAGTCCCTGATGGCAGCAAGAGGTGAACTAATACCAATGAGAGACAGATATTCCCTGACAAGGCTAGTGAAGTGAGAGACAGACTGAGAGACAGACTTCTGGACAGTTGGCCACGCTTGTCACAGGCAGGACACTGCAAGAGGAGATGGGCCGTGACACCTGTCTAACCACAGGCGTGTGTGGATCACGGCCACAGAGCAGAGCAGGGAGGGCCCAGGACTGGGTCCCAGGTGTCGGCAGTGTCATGTGACCTGGTGCGTGCTGGGGCCGTGCAGAAGGGCCTGTTTCCTCTGGCCCCACACCTGGACACCAGGAGCGTGAAAAGGGGAAGCCACGTAAGCACCAGAGCTGAGTGAGGTGGGCCAGGAGAGGCAGCGCCGGCACCAAGGATTGGGACATTGACGGCTCTGGTACTCACTGCTCTTTCCATTGCAGATTGGAGAAAAGCCCGGGCCTGTGCTGGTGAGTGGCCATTTAATTCCCAAGGCCTGAAGACGCCATAGGATAGGTCGTAGTGGCTTCTCTCCACCGTCCGGCTGCAGCCAGGCCCTGGCTGAGCTCCATGAACCCAGCTCAGCACCTGGGGCTCTTTCCTTCCCAGAAGTGCACATGCCAGGTCCTGTGCAAAGCCCTCCCCACCCACTTTCTCTCAGGTCTCTCTGCCCCCCAGTATTTTCAGCTGACACAGTTCCTCCACGTACATGACCCATTCTCACAGAGGTCAAGTGCATCTTGGAGGAGACCCAGCACCTCCAAGCTCCTCTCCCCTCAGAACACAGGTGCCACCCCCTGAAAGGGTCCCATGCAGAACCCTTGGAAGGAGGGAGGAATTACATCATGTAAATTTTTAAGATTTTATTTGCTTATTTGAAAGTCAGAGTTATAAAGAGAGGGAGAGACAGAGATCTTCCATCCACTGGTTCACTTCCCAGATGGCCATAATGGCCAGAGCTGAGCCAATCCGAAGCCAGGAGCCTGTGTCTCACACACAGGTTCAGGGGCCCAAGCGCTGGGGCCATCTTCTTCTGCTTTCCCAGGTCATAGCAGGGAGCTGGATCAGAAGTGGAGCAGCCGGGCCTAGAACCGGCACCCATATGGGATTGCCAGGTTGCAGGTAGTGGCTTTATGCGCTATGACACAGTGCCTTCTTAAGTAGCCAACATTGCAAGCAGCGCAATCCATCAAACACAAGGCACAGGTCTGAATGCTTTAACTGTGTTATCCCTTCATTTATTCTAGCAACAGCCTCAGAGGGAGGGGCCACTGTTATGCCAATGGGGGAAATGAATCCACAAGATGGGGGAAAAAATCTTGCTCCAAGAAAAAAAAAAATGCCTTGCTCCAAGTCACACACCTAGGAAGCGGTGATGCCAGGATGTAAGCTCAGGGAGTCCGTGCCAGGCACTGTAGTCTTTAAGGTACTTAGTTAGCTGAAGATTTGCTTATTTATTTGAAAGGAAAAGGTATAGCGTAGCAGGCTGCCCACGGGTCTGCCTGGAAGTGGCAAAGCTTCTCCCAGGCACCAAGGAAGACTGAGAAACATCACACAGCTGTGTCCCTGGAGGGAAAAGGAGCCATAATTTGGTGAACAATTCGAGTTTCTCCCATCTGAGTCTTCTGAGTCTCACTGCCAGCTGCTGGCTCACCGACACACAGCGGCTGCCTCCTGGGCCCTCCTGAAGTCCGGCAGAGAAACACAAGGGACACAGCACAGTGACACGGAGCGCTTTGCAGGAAGGCTGAGGGAGAGGAGACAGGTGCTGGAGAGGGATTCCCGAGTAGCTAGTCTGCTTCCAGGCCTTGGAATTCCAGCTTTCAGGAACTTGGAGTGTCTGCTCCTGGTGAAAGTGGCGGCTGTCCCTGTGGGTCTTGGAGGCTTGCCCTTGAGGGCACGTCACGGGGAGATGCTATCACTCCAGCTCTTGAGCAGGGGCAGATCACTGGGGTCCCCCTTTGCCCAGTCCCTGAGGGTCCTGAGATGCTAGAGTTGACCTGGGGCTCTCTCTCTCCTCCTCCTCTCACAGCCACTGTGACTCTTGATCTAGACACCGCCTTTGCTGAACTCTTTCTGTCTGAGGATCGCCGAAGCGTGCAGCGCAAAATCATACCACAGCATCTCCCTGAAAAACCAGGAAGGTTCCTGCATGACCCCTGTGTGCTGGGCCACGAGGCCTTCTCTTCGGGGAGACATTACTGGGAAGTAGAAGTAGGGGATAGGACTTTCTGGGAACTCGGGGTCTGTGAAGATCATCTGGAAAGGGCGTGGGCAATCCAAGAGTCACCTCAACATGGAGTCTGGGCCTTAGAACTGTATGGGAATAAGTACCAGGCCCTCACCTCCCCGCGGACCCCTCTCCCCCTGGGCGAGCCCCTTAGGCGAGTGGGGATCTTCCTGAACTATGAGGCTGGGGATGTGTCTTTCTATAACGCGGCTGATGGGTCTCACCTCTACACTTTCCCCCAGACCTGCTTCTCTGGGCCCCTCCGCCCTTTCTTCTGCCTCTGGTTCTATCACCCAGCCCCCCTGACCATCTGTCACTGAGGCCACGGTGGGTGGGGATTTTCAGTTGAGCCTGCAGGACAGACCGCTGCCTGGAGGTGAGGGATGGCTTCAGGGACAGCAGCCTGGGCTCCCTTCCTGGCCAGCTATGGAGGCTGAGCCGCTCTGGCCTTGCTCTCAAGAGTGCAGCCCTTTGGTTCCCATTCTTCATGTGGGGAGTCCTGGGGCTCAGTGATGCCGAGAGCCCATGGGGGACAGTGCAGCACCCCAGGGTCCCGTCAGGAAGGTTCGTCTGATGTCACCATTGTAGCTAGAAACTAAAAAATGAACCTCAGAGGGAAACAAAGACAAGAAATCCTGATAGAAAGACAGGGATGGAGAGGGAGGTCTGACCTTGATCTCCTCTCACCGTCATGAAGAGGACAGGGTGCACCAACACGCTTGTCTTGAGCGCGTGCCTCAGAGAACAGCAGCAGGAAGCGGATCTGGGTGGGGCTCTGCCATTCCAGCTTTTCCTACAAATGCTTCATCTGTTTTGACCCACCTGGGACCCAGCAGACAATGAAGTGCATGGAGAAGAGTCACCTCACCAGAGCAGCCCGCTGGTCTGGGACTTGGCTGTCCACCTGCGTTCTTCCATCTAATGCCAGATAATACCGTCTCTGAGAATCCAATAAATCCTCTATCAAACAATTTCAATATCATTTGCATTGCCTTCACCCCAGATGGCTCAATATTCCTTTTCCAATTTGCAGATTTGTTATTCCTCCTCCCCACAATAGCTTTCTGCTGAAAGTATTTCCCTTCACCAGTTAAGGGCATTTGGACTAGCATTTAAGATGCTGCTTGGGATGCCTGCATCCCACAGCAGCCCACATCCCAGAGTGCCAGGGTTTGAGTCCCAGCTCTGTTCTGGGCTCCAGCTTCCTGCCAATCGGAAGCAGTGGAGCAGTGGTGATGGCTCAAGTAATTGAGTCCCTGTCACTAACACAGGAGACCCAAATGGAGTTTCTGGCTCCTGGGTTCAACCTGGCCCAGCTCCCGTTGTTGCAGACATTTGGGGAAAATATCTCTCTCTTTCTCTCTGTCTCTGCCTTTCAAAAGAAAAAGATGAAACCCCCTGGGGGCTGTGCTCAGTGCTTTGGGTTGATTTTACTCAACTAATTCCGACAACAGCCTTGGGAGAAAACACCTGTGAGGCATTTTCACCTTGCAGGTATGGAAGCTGAAGGAGGGCAAAGTTGAGTAGTTTGTTAGCTCATGCTGTAGGTGGTGCTGCTGGGGGATATTCAGCCTCTGTCCCTGACCAACTTCCCGTTTTTTGCTGTCTTACTGTCCCCTTAGAAAAGCATCATGTGTGGCCCTGTGGTGGCCCACCCAGGGGAGAGATGGCAGGGTGGAGGACACACCCCCTCTTGATTCCTTCCCAGCTGATTGTCAAAGCCATAGGCCCCACAATCCTTTGGGTTGGCTTCCCGGGGTGTATTGGTTGGGAGAATTCTCTCACAGAAACTGTCTCGCACAGAACTGGGGAAGGGACTAGAGACTAAAATCAATAATGGAAAACAGCTGTGCCCACCCATATCTATGAGGTGTGATCATGGAGCCAGAACCAATCTCCCTGCATACTTGGTCTTTGATAAGCATAGCAAATAACCCAAAGATGGTCTATGAAATAATATAACTTGAGAGAAGTTAGAAGAACTTTGGGGGCATTTTTCACTGCATGTTCAGTCTGCCTCCAGGACAGGGGTACATCCACCACAGGTCACTGGTGGATGTTAAACCCATTCCCTTTTAACTGATACATGCTAAGCAAAAGCCAATATTCTCACCACTTATCCCCTAACCTGACACAGGTCAAGTTCTGTTTGTTCAGTGAACTTGTCCGTGATGCTCACTCTTCTGCTGGCCTTTTTCTGCACTCCAAGCCTACCTGCCACAGCAGAATGGTCCACGCACGCATTCTACTCCCCGTTTTCAGTTCACTGCATTGTGACATTTGTACAACATCTTTATCAGATCAATTTTCTATTGCTGCCATAAAGAACTACCACAAATGAACAGACTTAAAGCAATGAATTCTTGTGTAGCAAATTAAGCCTCTGCCTGCAATGCCCACATCCAATATGGGAGTGTCAGTCTGAGTCCTGACTGCTCCACTTGTAATCCTGCTTCCTGCAGTGGATGATGGCCCAAGTCCTTTGGTTCCTGCCACCCTTGTGGGAGACCCAGACAGAGCTCCTGGCTCCTGGCTTCAGCCTGGCCCAGCCCTGGCTGTTAGCGCATTTGGAGAGTAAACCAGCAAATGGAAGATCTCTCTCCTCCTCCCTTATCAGTCTGTCTTTCAATTAAATAAATTATCTTTTTAAATAATCCCATATGGCTGCCAGTTCTTGTCCCTGCTGTTTCTCTTCCAATCCAGCTCCCTGCTGTGGCCTGGGAAAGCAGCAGAAGATGGCCCAAGTCCTTGGGCCCTTGCACCCATGTGGGAGACCCAGAAGAAGCTCCTGTCTCCTGGCTTTGGATCGGTCCAGCTGTGGCCTTTGTGGCCATTTGGGGAGATCTTTCTGTCTGTCTCTCCCTCTCACTGTCTGTAACTCTAGCTCTCAAACAAATAAATAAAATCTTTTTTAAAAAAAGATCTATATCTTTCATTCCATCTAGAAGGTCCCTTTTGCCATGTAAAACATCATATTCATGAGTTTACATATTTACAAGCTTCACAGTGGACAGCCTGGGTGGAGGGGGGTGCTATGCAGCCTACCAAACTTTCTTGGGAGGTATTCCAGAAACACAAGTTCAGAAATAAAGTGAAACGGAGATGGGAGAAATCCAACTAAGTGACAAATGCTTTAAGTACTCATTACTGAGTTGGTTACCATGTGGACTAGCAGGCTCAATTCCACCCAGGACTCTGTCTGTATGAAATTATGGGATGTACTTCAGGATCTTCCTAAGGGATTGGGATCCTAGGTCACTTATGCACTCTTCTTATCCTCCTTTGCTTTCTGTATTGCAAAAGAACCAAGCTCACAGGTGTTAGAGAAAGTCTCAGAGGACAACAGAGGCAGGTGACTGAGGTGGGAAGTTGTTATCCTTGCAAGAAAAAGTCTGCCTCAGTTTTTGGTGAACTGAGATGGGCCAAGAGGCTACAGAGTGGGCTGTAGTGCTGCTAGGGCCTGCCTCCGGGGATGGAGTGAATGCCTGGCGAGGGCTTCTTTCTCCACCTGGCCGCTCACCTCCAAGCCTAGCAACTTGAGACCTCTGAGTTTGGAAGGAGGGCTGACCCTGCCCACCTCCTCACTCCATGCCTCCCACCCCTACCCCTGCACACATCCCTTGGGAATCTCAAGGTTTTGGAAAAAAAGGAATGAAAAAAGAAGAAAGAAAATAATCCTGCTTCTGAGCAAAGAAAAAGGAAATAAGATGACCGGATCAGCTCAAAAGTCTATTTCTCTACTTACTGGTTTTTTTTTGTTTTTTGTTTTTTGTTTTTTTTTTTTTCCTTTTTCCTCAAACTGTTTCTGTGTATTCTACCTGGTAACTGATGACAGATCAGGCTCAGGCACACCATTGGCTGGCAGACCCACTGGCTAGACTGCAAAGCATTCCGTGGTGATGTTGGCACTTCAGATGCCTTGAGGGGACGGTTCAGAGGTCCCGGCCCTGCAGTTCTGGACACCTCCACCAATGGCAGACAGAAAGGGGCTTTGTCTCCTCTTTCCTGACTGCTTGTTTCCTGGTGCTGACCGTGCCCATGGGTGGTCGCAAAGAAGAACCTCCAAGGATCATCCTTTGTGTGTCAGAGGAGAAAAGAAGACGCAGAGGTTAATTCTAGAAGGCAGAAAGGGAGGGGATGTGCTCTCATTTCGTGGGGGTGGAGGTGGGGTGGAGGGGTGCTTGTAGGTGGGGGTCGGAACCTGCTAGAGAGGAAAGCTGGGTCCCCGGGAGCTGGAGCCCACCTGTGGGGAGGTGGGCCCTTCCGCCTGTCCTCTTTACCTGGGTCACCTGGCCTGATCTACAGGGAGGAGGGGGTGCAGGGAGGAATATCGAGTGACCTCTGGAGAAACCGGACTCTCAAAGAAGAGAGTGGAAAACTGCCTGCCTTGTCATGCTGCTCTTGGCTTCTTGCACGGAAGGTTTACCAGTTCCACCCACTGAAACATGCCTGAACCATGGGACAGTGGGGCTGCTGCCCAGACCGGAGCCGAGGCGCTGATGAGACCAAAAGAGGTGACAGGAACGTCTGACCTACACGACAACTGTGGCCCCAGCTCTCCTCACAGACTTCTCTGTGCCCCTAGGCCTGTGTTCCCTCCCTGTCCTGGGTGACTCATCCTGGGCACTGATGCAGCCAGCTGCTTCCCTGCCAGCCTCCCTTCTCTTCTTCTCCGCTCTCAGCCTGTGTGCCCAGGTCTCAGGTAAGGATGTGTGCCGCTTGCTCCTAGCAGCTCCTCAGAGAGCAACCTTGCCCCTTCGCTCTGCAGACGAAGCTCCAAGGACTGCAGCGGCACCGGGTCCTCACCCAGCCTCGTCCTCACTCTGAGCGCTCTCCTCCTTCTCACCCTTGTTACAATGTGCGTGCTGGTTTATACCAGCACTGCCCAACAGCAAAGCAGTGAGAGCTACAAGCGCCCGCTGCACATACAGCTGCAGATCTCCAAGCAGCAACATTTCAAAAAGTGAAAAGAAGTGGATGCAAAAATGTTATTAATACTTAACCCAAATCACCAAATATTAATCTTTATATGACTACTTAATGAAAGATATCACCAATGTAATATTTAACATTAATAATTCTAAATATTCAAGATCCAGTGAACACTTTGCATTTACCACGCATTTCCAGTGAAACTACCTGGTGAATATTCTATTAGAGAGCTCAAGTTTGTCCTGCATGCAGGTACTAATCTAGACTGGGGACTAGACGGGAAAGCCCTTAGCCCTGGGTGTAGGGGATGTTCAGCGTGATTCTCTGAGGTTCCTTGCCCGAGAAGCATTAGCTGTTTCAAAAATGGCTTCCCCAAGGCTGCTGCCCTCCAGCCAGGCCCCCAGAATCCTCAGTCCTGTGGCCGTGAGAAGCCTATGTTCCCTGGAACAACTACTTCCTTTCCTGCCTTAGCTATCTGACAGCTGGAGTCCCTGTCTGATCCTACCCCTTCGTCCAGCAGCCCAGTTTACTGTCGTGGGGCCAACCGATCCGATCCTGGCCATGCTGGGAGAAAACATCACGTTAAGCTGCCACCTGTTGCCGGAGAAAAGTGCTGAGGACATGGAGGTGCGGTGGATTCGGTCTCAGTTCTCCCCTGCAGTGCTCGTGTATAAGGGCGGACGAGAGAGACCAGAGGAGCAGATGGAAGAGTACCGAGGAAGAACCACCTTCGTGAGCGAAGACATCGGCAGGGGGAGCGTGGCACTGGTCATACACAACCTCACCGCCCGCGAGGACGGTATTTATCGCTGTTACTTCCAAGAAGGCAGGTCCTATGACGAGGCTACCGTGCGCCTCCTGGTGGCAGGTGCGTCTCTTCATTTTGTTTCCTTGCCTTTCACAAGGTGACTTTGGGGGACAAATTCTCTCCTAATCACGGGTCATCTCAGATCAGCAGATTTTTGCCCAGGTCGGGGGTGCTGAAACAGGGAGGGGACTTCCTGCTGCCCAGTGGCTACCTGAGTGGGTTTGCCCTGCCATCTGTGGCGTCAGCTCTTGAGAATCAGCCCTAGAACACAGCGGAGGGCTCCGGCAGGGGAGAATGGTCTATCCCTGCAGACAGTTCTTAGGTCCACTCAGTCATTGCAACTGAGCACTTTGAGGGTGGCAGGAGCCCTCTCGGGACTTGCTCGGGGACAACTGGAATGAGGATTGTCCACGAGAACAAGGTGTAGACATCTCAGTGATTGAGCAACACCAATCCTACCTTCTACCCCTTTCCCCTCAGTATTGATTGCAGTTGAAGTGACTGATATGCAAATCGCTGATTTCATTAAAGCATGATTAAGCACTGAGACACAATTATGTGCTAAGTCTGGTGCCAATCCTCCCAACCCCCGGATAAAAAGAGAATTCAGCCTGGAGACATTGGGCAAGGGTGCAAAGTAGATGTGGTATTTTAAATGGGGGTTTCTAGGAATGCATTAATAATGGCTTTAAGGGGTTGGTGTTGTGGTGTAGCAGGTCAAGCCACTGCCTATGACACCAACATCTCATATAAGCACTGGTTGGAGACCCAGCTTCTCTTGCTTCAATCTAGCTCCCTGTTAATGCACCTGGGGAAGCAGTGGAAGATGGCCCAAGGGCTTGGGCCCTGGAATGGAGTTCCAAGCTCTCAGCTTTGGCTGAGTCTTCGTCCAGGCCCAGCCTTGGCTGTTGTGACCATTTGGGGACTGAACTAGCAGATGGAAGATCTTTATCTCTCTCTCTCTCTCTCTCTCTCTCTCTCGCTCTCCCTCTCTCTGTAACTGTGCCTTTCAAATAAATAAGTCTTTAAATAATAATTTTAAACAATATAATAAATATTAAACTTTAAACAATAATAACAATGGATTTAAGGGATGACCTCACTCCGTGGGTAAGTGTATTTTGCCTTAAAAGAAGCATCCGAAGACTGAAAGACTGCTAAGACACAGAAGACTGTGGTGGCCTGCCAGTCCCTGAGAGCGTGGAGTGAAGTTTGGGGAGTGTGAGAGTTCCCAAGGGGCTTCAGACTGTGAGTGGTGGGAGGCTGCATCTTCCGCTCCTAAGGAGTCTTGTATCTGATCGTACAGAACATCAGGGAAGGCGAGGTTCCCCACCTCTGTGTCCTGACTGTCCCAGCAGCCTGCACTGACAACCCATGTGTGGGGCAGGAACTCTCCATTCTTCCCCTTTCAGTAGGACCCTGGCCCTGTCTGGCCTGCCTTGCTCTTAATTCATTGTTGGGGAATGTTTTGTTTGTTTGTTGTTTTTTTCATTTGTTCTGTAGTTGAGTGACTGGTTTTTGTCCCCCAGTTTGCCTTTTCTGGACCCCACAGAAAGTGTCAGAGAACTTTTTTCCCCTCAAGTTTGCCGAGTTACTTTGATTCTAATTGCACTTTAAGATTTCTGTATGAAGTGCTTTCTCTCTCCCTCTTTTTCTTGGCAAAAATCAAAAGAACAGGAAGCACTGGACTTAAACGAATGTGTTAATTTGCTGTCTTCAGTATAATTTTTTGAGTAGGCTTATCAAAGCCTTAACTGCTCAAAAGAGGTTTAGATACTCACACACGGCTAATGGCTAACAGGTCTCCCAGGACCATGAACTTGCAGCTCCTTCATATTTGGTCATCTCCCTCAATGGCCACTCTTTTAAAGAAAGAATATAAACAGAAAAGCATCTGGCTTCTTAGGATTTCTTGTGATGGTCTTTTTGAAGAGGTGACATGGTTACCAAGAGCACCCAGATCTTTCTAATACACTAATATTCTCAAAGACGATAAGAAAATCACCTAACTGAGCTCCTGGGAGGTAAACATCTGTGGATCAGGATAAGGGTTGGTTTTGCCAGCCGGCTTTGCCCATTCTTCAATAAAAAGCAGTCTGCTTTAGGTTAGGGGATAGATGTGGTGATGGAAAGCTCTGAACTAGACAGAAAGGATGGTGTCTTGATGTCACAATATGTCTTAAGACTCTACCAAGCTGGCAGGCTTCGGTCTTTGCATTCTAGAACTTTAGGAAACTGGGGTCCACCTACCAGTCATCCCAGAGGCTGAGAGTGAAATCCTAAACTTGTCTGTCTCTGGACACACCTGCCTGGAAATGAGAAAAGCAAAGTCCATGGCTGAATAAATGGAAATTAAGAATGTGTATCAGACACACGGATGTGTGATACCATGATGGGACCCCTAGGTGGAGCTCACAGAAAGCACGCAATGTGACACTCGGACGCTGAGACATCTTGATTTACTCGGCATCTTGGTTTCCTGATCTACATCAAGGTCAAGTTTCTTTCTTCTTCCCCTTCATCCCTCCTCCTTGCTCCCCAGCTCCTTCCCTCTTTTCAAACCTCTCTGCTTCCTTGCTTCACAGAAGTGCAAATGCAGGAAGGTGTGCAACTTGGTGTTTCGTGTCCCCGCGTGCTGCCCACTCGATCCTCTCCAGCCCCAGGGCTGCCCGCCTCGGCCGCTGACCCGAGACACGTTGGCTTAGACGCCCCCTGGCTTTGGCGCTGAGCTTGGTCTCCCTCCGCAGGCCTGGGCTCTCAGCCCGTCGTAGAAATGAAGGACCACGAGGACGGGGGCGTGTTGCTGGAGTGCAGGTCGGAAGGGTGGTTCCCCGAGCCCCGCGCAGTGTGGCGAGGCCCCTACGGCGAGGTCGTGCCGGCCCTGGCCGAGGCGTACATGCTGGATGCAGACGGCCTCTTCACGGTCACCTCCACTGTGGTGGTCAGGGACGGCTCTGTGAGGAACATGTCCTGCTCCGTCAACAACACGCTGCTGAGCCAGGAGAAGGAGACCGTGGTCTTCATTCCAGGTGGGTTCTCTGCCCCCTGAGACTCAGCACACGGAGGCAGGGTCCTAAGCAGATGGACTGGAGCCTGGGCTGGGGGTGCTGAGTGTGGGTAGCAGAGGTCGCAGGGGGACGGGAATGTGGGTGGAGAGGGTAACGGGGACAGCGGCTGGAGGGGGTGTTTTGGGGCCCTGAGGAGCCTGCCGTGGAAGTGAGGCCCATCCCCCTGTTGCAAGATCAAGTTGTCTGGAGACGCAAGCGTGGGAACCACTTCTCTAAGGACAAATCCCATCGTTTGCTCCCCTGAGGAGGTCCTTGTGCTGCAACTATTCTAAATTTATGTATTTATTGTATTTATTTGAAAGGCAGAGAGACAGATACAAAAAGAGACATAGATGGGGCAGACCAAGCAGAGAGAGAGCGCGCTTCCATCTACAGGTTCACCCCACAAATGCCTGCAACAGCTTGGGCTGGACCAGGCTGAAGCCAGGAGTCTGGAACTCAATGCAGGTTCCTCACACAGGTGGCAGGGACGCAAGTCCCAGAGCCATCATCTGGTGCCCTCCAGGGTGCACACAAGGCAGGGAACTGGCATTGGGAGCAGTGCTGGGACTCGAACCCAGGTGCTCTGATATGGGATGCAGTGTCTCAAGCAACATCTAAACCACTATGCTAAATGCCCACCCCTGCAGCCATTTTTAAGCTTTAAATAACAAAGAACAAGGAGAGTGGTAGGGGTGGGTGGCTATCTACACTTGGTGATGCTGTCTGCTCATGGGATTTCCTAGGAGGCAGCCCGGGGGAAGTTCCCTGTCTACAGATACCTGCGCATCCACTCATCAGATACTCAGCAAGCACCTTCTGTGTTCAAGAAACATAATCACAGAGCCAAAAGTAGGAAGACCCAGGCTGTGGTGGAATTCACATTCTAAGGGCCAAAAACAATGAAATAACTAAAACATGTGATTAAATAAATTGTTATATAAGGTGGTGATGAATAACTAAAACATGTGATTAAATAAATTGTTATATAAGGTGGTGATGAATACTAATGGGAAAATAAAGCAAGGTTGGCATGGGGAGTGCCTGGTGTGTGGAGTGTTGTGGTTTTTAACAGGGTGGCCAGGTGGACTGCCCTGCAAAGACAAGAATTGAGCAATCAAGCAAAGTAGCCAAGCAGATAATTGAGATCTGAGCAACCTGCAGAACAGGAACAGGAATATGCACAGGGCCCGCGGTAGGAGCATCTCTGGCCGTTTTGAGGAACCCCAAGGGGTGATGTTGGTGCGGTTGGAATGCAGTGAGTGCAGTGGGAAGAGTTAATTCCCAGAAGCAATGAGGCCATAGTACAGGCAGCTCAAGCCCCAAACAGACTTTGCCTTTTAGTGAGAGCCTGGGGCAAAGATTTAGCACAGTCTCCCTTAGGCTGCTCCAGCAGGAACAGGGCAGAACAAGCAGGAGGGCATCACACTACTCCCGACAAGGAGCCCAGGGCAGGGCTCCGATGCGCTGGATCCTTCCCAGGGTGGCTCCTGTATCTCTGCTTTTCTGTCTCCTGACCCAGCCCTGGGGTCAGCCAGCACAGAACGAGCATCTTTCCTATCTGGGGCTTTGGAGGGAGATGCGGACAGAGCAGGAACCCAGGGAGATCTTCCGATGGGCCCCCGGGGAGCACCCGCATCCTAGTTGCCTGTTTCCCACCAAACGGACTTTTCTGACTCCCTTTGCAGAGTCCTTTACGCCAGGCATTTCTGCTTGGATGGTGGCCTTGGCCGTCACCCTCCCTGTTCTGATCCTCCTCGTGGCTGGGAGCATCTGTCTTATCAGGAAGCTCCACAGGGAAAAGGAGATTCTGTCAGTGGAAAAGGAGATTGAACGTGAAGAGAAAGAAATTGCACGTAAGGGCCTGGGGGAAGAGTGTGTGGAAAGGGAAAGGATGCAGATGAGAGAGGAAAGGATAGAGATCAGCGCCCTTCCCAGGACACAGTTCCAACCTGCAGAAGCTGCGACTCAGAAAGGAACGCACAGACAGCAGCAGGGGTTGGAGCGCCCGTGTCCTAATCGTTAATGGCTCAGAGCTTGCACTCAGAGGCCTGGCCACACGCAGCACTTAACTGTTGAACAAAAACAAGCCTAAAAAGTGCTGACCCTGTGTTGCTGCCTGACTACCTATCATTTCTGGTTCCTGACAGAAATTGGGAGGGAGATGCTATATTCGTAGAATAGGCCAGTCTTGTGTCCTTTGATATAAATCCAAATTCTCTTCGTTCTTCTGTTGAGAACATTATTTTATTTATTTTCCAGAGCAACTTCAAGAAGAATTGAGTAAGTCTAGCCTTTCCTAAACTACTCCACGCATGATTTGTGCTCTACTGTGTTGGTCATTATCTCATGATCTTCACCTCTCTGTCACTTGCAGGGTGGCGAAGAACCCTCTTACATGCTGGTGAGTGCCCCTGATGTTCCCTCAGACCCTGGGCATTCTCCCCACTAGCAAGCCAACAGGTGTCTTTAGGGGAGATAAAGAAGAGGATCCAAGGCTGGGTGGTGGGTAACAGGGGGCCAGGGCACTGGCTCACCGATGCCAGATCCCGGCTCTTCTGCCTGGGAATCCTGGCAGCTCTGGACCAGTCCTCCAATCGACTTCCCAGAATTCTTCTTTTTTAAGCATGTTTTGTTCCATGATTACCAGAGGTCCCCAAGAGTTACATTTCAGTAGTTGTTGCTCCTGGGTCTTGGATTAATTTGAGAAAAGACAATTCTGTTTATTTAATTGAAACCTGGGGCATAGCATAGTCTCTGCACAACTAAAGATGCACCTGGGGAAAAGGCAACCCCATATCGACTCAGGGTGCATAAAATACGAGAGCGCTTCACAAAGCTCATGGAAAAATGGTATTGAAAGATAAACTTACTTCTATGGGAGGCTTTTTGAAATCCACGCCTTATGCACAGGTCTTCAAAAAGTGCATGAAAATGCATATTATTCAAAAACTATGCATGGATTTAAAAATTGTTTTGCCCCCAAATCAACTTATTTTGTATTCCTTTTTCCACGTACATTTTGAAGTACCCTCATAGAGGAGCAAAAATTTCTTCCTTTCTCCAAGATGGCCCTGCCACTCTGCCTATCGCGGGAGGGGAGGGACAGGCAGAAATGCACCTCCTGGTGAGCATCCTGGCCGAGAGCACACGAATCCAGGCTTCCCCAGATACCAGGCAGGTGAATCTCAGAATTCCCACTCAATCAGTGTGGTGCAGAACGACAAGTTCTCACAATCAGAAATAGCCACTCGAAGCAAAGAGGAAGTCCTTTTGCCCTAGTTGAAAGGTAGAGAAGTAGGTAAGGATGACTGCGGGTGGGTGAAGTCTGCAGGAAGTCGGGGGCCTGATGCATTTCTCTACCCTGATGGCATAGATGGCAGGTCCATGCTGTTAAAAGAAAAACTGGCTGGAAATATGTCCCCATGTGTTTGTCACGCATACCTCCCAGGTTGGCTGCTAGGGACATTTATCCTCCTTCTTTAGCCATTGGAGGATGCCTTTATCAGTTGTTTAAATCAGCTGCCACCTGGTTAAGGCAATGCAGGGGACCAATGAAGAAATCTGTGCTATCCAAGACGCTGTAGTACGAGACTCACCTTAATTTACTCATGGGTTGGAGACTAGAGAATGGGAGGTGAAACCTCCTCGCTCATCTAAGCCAAGCTGAATAATTTATTTTATTTATTTATTTGCAAGACAGAATGACAGAGACAGAGCGAGAGACAGAGAAAGAGGTCTTATACTTGTAGGTGCATTCCCCAAATACCCCAAACAGCTGGGGCTGAGCCAGGACAAAGCCAGGAGCCCAGAATTCCATCTGTGCCTCCCAACATGGGTGGCAGGGACCCAAGCACTTGAGCCGTCACTCGTCACTCGTCACTCGCTGCCTTCCCAGGTGCATTAGCAGGAGGCTGACTGGGAGGCACTTGGCGAGGGGTGCCGGCATCCCAGGCAGAGGCCCAAGCCGGAGACACTAACTAGAGTCCCAGAGACTCTACACCTTGTAAAAAAAAAGGGGTAGCTCGGAGAATGCTGGAAACGGTCTTGGCTCACTTGCAACGCTTTCTGCCACTGAGGACACTGCTCCTGTCACAGGAGAGACAGTGGCCAGCCACGTGGAGGAATCCCCCAGCAGGTGTCTCAGGCGGTCAGGAACCGCCCAATTCCCAGAGGACCCCAGACCTAAACCTAAGACTTCCTCTACAGCTGACGTGGTCCTGGACCCCGACACTGCTCACCCCGAGCTCTTCCTGTCGGCGGACGGGAGAAGCGTGAGGCGCGGCCCCTTCCGGCAGAGCGTGCCCGACAACCCTGAGCGGTTCAGCTGCCGGCCCTGCGTCCTGGGCCGGGAGAGCTTCGCCTCGGGGAGACACTACTGGGAGGTGGAGGTGGAGAACGTGATGGTGTGGGCCGTGGGGGTGTGCAGAGACAGCGTCGAGAGGAAAGGGGAGGCTCTGCTGCTTCCTCAGAACGGCTTCTGGACCCTGGAGATGTTTGGAAACCAGTACCGGGCCCTGGGCTCCCCTGACAAGACCCTCCCCCTGAGAGAGCGCCTGCGCCGCGTGGCCGTCTTTCTGGACTGTGAAGCTGGCGATGTCTCCTTCTACAACATGAGGGACAGATCACACATCTACACGTGCCCCCCGGCAGCCTTCGGCGGGCCCCTGAGGCCCTTCTTCCGGCTGGGGTCTGATGACAGCCCCCTCTTCATCTGCCCAGCCTTCACAGGCGCTCGCGGCCTCGCAGTGCCCGAGGGTGGCCTAATCCTGCACAGGGCAGGGACCCACCAGCCCCCACAGCACCAATTCCCTGGTCTCTGTGCCATATAGAGAAGCCCCACCATTGGTCCAGTGTCCCTGGCCGAGAGCAGTCTCTCTTTCCTTTTGGTCACAGGACAACCTTTTGCCACCCTCCTCATATCCACGGCCGCCCCTGCCCCAGTTCTGCCCCTCACAAGGCTGTGGCTTTACCAGCTCATTCGCTTGTAACCGAGGGCAGGGTCCAGTCTTAGGGAACACACTTCACAGCCAAGAACTCGGGAAAGTTGAGGATGGGATGGTGAGAAAATCTGCCACTTTAACATTAGGGCGGTGCTGCTGAGCCACCAGGACAGCAGATGCTGAAGACTTGAGGCAAAGGCCACTGGATGCAGCAGGAGTAAGACAGGGGAGGGGACCACACATGGAAGCCAGAGACAGAGAAAGTGGGACCGGAGGGCTGAGGTTTGGGAGAGAATGGGGGAGGTGACGGAGGTGGGTAAGCCCCGTTGCAACAGCTGTGGGTCCTTAGAGCTGATGGCGCATTAACACGCAACCCCCAAGTCACCCAGCCTGCATATCCTAGGCCGAGACCTAGGATGAAGAATAAAAGACACGCGGCTCACTAGGCTAATCCTCCGCCTAGCGGCGCCGGCACACCGGGTTCTAGTCCCAGTAGGGGCGCCGGATTCTGTCCCGGTTGCCCCTCTTCCAGGCCAGCTCTCTGCTGTGGCCAGGGAGTGCAGTGGAGGATGGCCCAGGTGCTTGGGCCCTGCACCCCATGGGAGACCAGGAAAAGCACCTGGCTCCTGGCTCCTGCCATCGGATCAGCGCGGCGGCCATTGGAGGGTGAACCAACGGCAAAGGAAGACCTTTCTCTCTGTCTCTCTCTCTCTCACTGTCCACTCTGCCTGTAAAAAAAAAAAAAAAAAGAATAAAAGACAAAGAGGCATCTGAGTCTGGCTTGTCTCCTGTCCCTGTAATGAACAGGAGTCAAGAGCGTGGCTTGCAGCCCAGGTCTCGGCTGTGCTGGCAAGTGCTGGACCAATCTGCCCAAAGCTTGCTGGACCAATCTGCCCAAAGCTCGGTGGGCGAGCTTCTTGGTCTCAGGATGCCTGCAGACACAAAAAGCGATGAGGGGGCAGGCATTTGGCACCGCAGTTGAGCTGCCACTTGGATCACCTGCTCAAATACTTGAGTCCTTGGCATCCACGTGGGAGACCTAGACTGAATACCAAGCTCCTGGCTTTAGCCTAGCTCAGCCCCACTATTGGGGAGTGAACAGCAAATGAGTGATATCTGTCTACCTTTCAAATAAAATGAAAATAAATAACATTGCTTAAAAAATTATTGGGGCTGGCACCGTGGCATAGCGGGTAGAGCCACTGCCTGCAGTGCTGCCATCCCATACCGGTGCTGCTTCGAGTCCCCGCTGCTCCTCTTCTGATCCAGCTCTCTGCTAGGGCCTGGGAAAGCAGTAGAAGATGGCCCAAGTCCTTGGGCTCCTGCACCCTCATGGAAGACCCAAAAAAAGCTCCTGGCTCCTGACTCCTGGCTTCGGATCAGAACAGCTCCAGCTATTGTGGTCATCTGGGGAGTGAACCAGCAGATTGAAGAACTCTCTCTGTCTCTTTCTCTCTCTCTCTCTCTCTTCCCCCCTCCCTCCCTCCCTCTCGCTCTCCCTTTCCTTCCCTCTGTGTAACCCTGTCTTTCAAATAAATAAATAAATCTTTAAAAAAAATATCGAGGGGGCTGGCGTTGTGCCATAGTGGGCAAAGCCACCGCCTATGATACAAGTGCTCATATGGGGCCAATTCAAGTCCTAGCCGCCCCACTTCTAATCCAGCACACTGCTAATGTGCCTGGGAAAAGAGAAGAAGATGGCTAAAGTGTTGGGGCCCCTGAATCCATGTGGGAGACCCAGAAGAATATCCTGTCTCCTGGCTCTGGCTTTGGCCTGGCCCAGCTCCAATCTTTGCAACCAATTGGGGGAATGAACCAGCACATGTTAGGTCTCTCTGTAACTCCAACTTTCAAATAAAAAAAAGAAATTAAGGATCCCCAAACGCTACAGTTCTATTGAGTTAATATCTGTTAATATTTATGGCATTTGGAATTGAAACTGAAAATTGTTTCTAGTTTTTTATATTAGAATAATAATAAACAAATTGTAGGTTAATAAAAATAGCATTTTTAATTTTAAGATTTATTTATTTTACTTGAAAGGTGGAGTTCCAGAGAGGGAGAGGAAGAGGCAGAGAGAGAGATCTTCCATCCTCTCGTTCACTCCTCAATTGGCCATAATGGCTGGAGCTGGGCCATTCTGAAGCCAGGAGCCAGGAGCTTCTGGGTCTCCCATGTGGGTACAGTGGCCCAAGCACTTGGGCCATCTTCTGCTGCTTTCCCAGGCACATTAGCAGGGAGCTGAATTGGAAGTGGAATAGCCAGGACTCAAACCGACACCCATATGGGATGCTGGTGCTTCAGGCAGAGGCTGAACCTGCTACACCACAGTGCGCTGGCCCCCAAAATAGCATGTTTTATGAAAACTAACTGCAGTTTCCAAAGCAAAGCTGATTTTATTGTTTAGTGTAGGAATATCATACTTCTTTCAAATCTAATGTCTGACTTAATAAAAGATGGT